TCTAGATCTTTCCTTCAGGGTGACAAATTACCTTCTCCAGTCTTATTGGTAAACCCAACTAGATTTATCCTATTGTGAATCCACATTTATGCCAATCCCATTGATATCTGCTCTACCTGGGACTAGAGGGGAATAGTAGATTCAATTAAGGAAAGGAAAGGCCAAATGTTGCCATTCCCATTATGCTCATGGAAAAGCAAACTGCTGCAGCCTCTCCTAGCTTGTGCAGTCTTTCTCTCCAATAACTTTTGCCATCTTAACCACACTTTGATATTGTTTGGTCACATGTCTCAATTTCCATCTGTGAAATGTGAGATGGCATGGTTACACAAAACCTTAATATTCAGCAAAGGAAGTATTATCTTTGGTAAATCCATGATTCATTTCATAAAACAGGATAATAAAACAATGGAATTAAACCAAAGGTCAAAGAAACTAGAACACGGCTTAGTACTTACCATGGAGGATTTGAGCTCAGGCAAAGAAGCAGGTTGACCACAAGCTAGGATGGATTCCTCAGCCTTCCTCAGTTGGACACCTCACTGCCCTAGTTAACAAAACCAGATTGTTCAAATCCACATTCTAGGCCAACTGTCATGGTGAGGTCACAGAATTCCACACTCGGTTCAATAAGGCTTTCAACAAAGTTTTCAATGATATTATCACAAAAAATATATTAGGACTAGACAATGCTACTGTTGGGTGGATTGGGAATTAGTTAACTGGATGATCTGAAAGGGTGCTGAGTAATGGCTCCTCCTTATCCATGAGAGAAGTGACCAGTGGGGTGCCACATGGGTTTGTCCTCAGCCCAGTGGTATTCAGATGGCACCAAAATAAAGTAGTCTATTTGGGATGTAATCTCTTCCTGCAGCTTGAATCCATTTTTCCATGTCCTTGTGCTATAATCATAATGCTATAATTTTGTGTTGTGAGTGGAAGCCTGGTGAAGCAGGACTTCAACAACAGAGAGCACAATGTTGTTTAAACCAGTGCTTCTCAGGTTATGCAATATGTGGGGGGGGGGGGGG